GGGGGGGGGGGGCGGCAAGTGTTACTAGAAATGCAAGAACAATTCTTAGTACTTATCAAGAAAGTCCTGATAAAGCTCATAAAGAAGCTAGCAGACCTAGGGGAATGAAAGTTATTTGAGGAAAGAAGGAATCTTTCAAAAAGCTGAAGTAGTAACTAAAGAAAGTATAAAGGATAATAACCTTAGATAGATTATCTATAAAAGCACAATAAATCAGGCTAAAAAAGAACTTGAGGAACAAGCAGAAAAGATACCTAGTAATAAAACTCGGAACAAACCTTTTTGCAAACTCACTGGATACAAGAAACCTGCCAGAGGGTCTGTAGAATCTAATGATGATTTGGGTATAAGAGAGTGTTGAAAGACTGGCCACGGTTGGAAGACTAAACTGTTTGAGTTAACATTCACTGTGGAAAAAAACTGAAGTGACTCCCATGCCAGAACCTTTATGTGGGACTTGACAGATCTGTCTGAAGTTGAAGTGATTGCAGGAAAGGTTATAAGACAAACTGAAAAAACAACCACCCATCTCTAGAACAAGACTATAGTTAACCAGGAGTTTTAAAAGAGCTTAAGGATTAAATAGTGGAATTACTAACAGGAATGTGAGAGAGGGAGTTATTGGCTGTGTTCCATGTGCCTAAAAATGTCTTGGTGCCTGAGGCATGGAGCGTGGAGTGAAACAAAATAAAAAGTTTCCAGGGAAAATCCGAGTAACCACAGACCTGTGAAACCATTACAGGACATAATAGAAGCTACAGTAAAGCACAGAATTATTGGATTCTTGGATAAATGATCTACCTGAGTCACCATGGCTTTTGCGAAGAGAAGTCCTGTTTTATGAAGCTACTGTGTTTCCAATGGGGGAGTCAGCATACATACAGATGAATGTGATTCATTTGATACACCCCACTTGAATTTCCAAAAGCTTTAGAGAAGATTCTTCATCAGAGCATTGTAAGGGAAATAAGGAGCTATGGCATAAGCTCTTTTGTGTGACTAAACTGGTTTAAAGACAGGAGGAGTAAATTGTCATTTTACCGTGTAGTCATCCATAGAAATCTGTAGGAACCTATGCTGGGATAATGTTGAACATTACTGCTCAACAAATCAGTAAATGGTCTGGAAAAACAGGTGAGCACACCGGTGAAAAAGTCAGTTGGTGAGACTGAATTGTTCAGGGTAGTAAGAGAAAGGGCCAGCTGTGAAGAGTTTTGGAAGTCTCTTATAAAACAAAGTGACTATGCCATAAAGCAGCAGATGAAACTCAATGTAGGTGAATGTAAAGTGATACACATGGGAGAAAACCAGTCCTAACCTCACCTGTAAAATTATTGAATCTTAACTGACCATTAGCATTATTAATGTAGACAGTTACAGCATCAAATAAAAAATTAGGAATTCATGGGAAGTGAATATGGAAAAAAATAGATTTAATCATTATACTACTGTATTAATCCATAGCATGCCCAACTAAGGATTTCATTAGGGTTTTCATTTCAAAAACAGATAGAGTGGTGTCAGAGATGGCTGAAGAAGGGCAGCAAGGTGTGGAACAACTTCCTCATGAGGACTGACATAGGCTTGATGATGTTCAAAGTAAGAAAAGATTTTTGCCACTGATTTCAGTGGTCTAGACCAAAACTGATTCCACAAGAAACATTTAAGGATGCTCACTGCTTGACCTTGGGTGGTGTTTGGTATGGTCACAGAATGAAACCATCAGTTCTGTGTCTCTTAGTCATATTTTTCTCCTGTGTTGTTTTGGTAAAAAGAAGTATTTGTCTTTTATTAGCTTAGTTAGGAAAGGAAATGAAAGCACTGTTCCCTACATCATGATAATTACATCACTGCAGAATCCAAACAAATTCAGATAGATTAGTCACTGTAGGGATAATAGATTAACATACTTACTCAATACTCATTCTTGAAACCATATCCAAAGTTGTGAAACCTGCTGCCATGAAGTTATTTTTATACTGACCCATTTTTATGGAGTCCAGCCAGTCACTAACTGAAACAAACAAAGGATATTCTGGAACTTCACCAGGTGAATCTGGCATTCTGTAAAAACAAAATACAGAGATTACCAAAGCAGTACAAAATATGACACTCAATTTATTCACTCTGGTACACACTGTTTTTATTAAAAGGTAGATGGAATGAGAGAGGAGCCCAAGCTGTAGATGTCAGATCTTAATGGAGGACCTCTTTAACCCACTGTCTAAAACTTACAAACCATGTCAGTCTGCCAAGTTGCACTACTGAAACAATACATTTTTTTAAAGTACTGTTTAAAGTTAACAAACCGAGAAACAGACCTCTCCCACTGCTCTTATTTTACTTCCCACAAAGTGTTTCTTTACAGACCTTACAAGTTCAGGTTGATAATGATTTGCATATACAATAGTCAGACAACAAAAAAAAGTTTAATATGAGATACAATTTAAAAATTGATTACAGTGTTAAAAAACTTAAAGCTAACCTTTGAAGAAGCAAAAAATAAAATTGTATATCTTTGCTTCTACATAGATTTTCAAATAAAAATGAAGGAGCTAATTTAGTCACGTTTCTGTTTGAGTTCTCTTCCCATTAATATTATTGCAACTGAAACAGAAAGATAGAAAAAAATTCCAATTTTCGGGCATATATTTCCAGTCTTCCGTTATGTACCACACTAGTGAAGGCTTACTGTTTCCATTGACTTTGTATATTTTGCGTAGAGAAACTGTAGGAACAGAATGCAAAAGCCCCACACTGCTATTTATGAAAGCTTTATGATAGCCTTTATGGAAAAGATATAATTTACTTAAAATGAAAATTTATACAGCAAAAGCCAACCAACATTAACTGATGGAATATGACATAATGTAGGAAGCAACACACCCTAATATCTTAACATACTGAGTTTCAAGCACACATATTTGAATACGTTAAGCACGCTGTTTTTCATTCATATTATCAAAATGATAGAGAAACTGAAGGACAGAACACTGTTAAATGCAAGCTTCAATTAAAGACCTACCAAGGTCCCTTCCAACCTGAATTACTCTATGATTGTACAATTCTGTACAATAATTGCTGACCTCATAAGTTAACAGTAACACAGTAATAATTCAGATTGACTGCATTAAGCATTCCCAAATGCACAGAAAAGCTTTCCCAAGCAGATGAACTCAACAAGAGCTTCACTGTAAGAAAACAGGCATAAGTTTTTAGATCTTACCTAATGTTTCAAAATAACAATAGATTAAAAATGCATTGCCCTGATGCTAAATAAAGTGACCCAGGTACAAGTAATAAGTTATATATATATTTATACGCACATACACACTTAACTAGTGCGCAGACTTGAAATCCCACAAGTCCCACTAGTTTGTGGTAGATGAAATGACTGTAGCCCTATTAGGCTTTCCAAGTAACCTCTCCACTCAGCCTTACCCATAGCAAGAGACCAGTCTCAGTCTTTGCCTTGTATGCTCGGCCGTTCTCCAGACCATATAAAAAACCCTTACTTAACCTACTGAGTTTATAAACCCAGGGGATCTTAATGAAAGCACCTTTATCTTAAGGTGAATTTCAGCTAATGGAGAGAGTGAGGCCACCTGGACCTTCACTGATTTCAGCTGATATCTAGGGACAACTTGGATCAATAAGCCTATAAAAATTAACAAATTCTTCCACCACAGCCTTGCTTCTTCTGTGGCTACATTCATTTCTGTAATATGATTAATAGAAAAAACTTTGGGCAATACCATCAAGAATTTGTTGTGGGATGGTAACAGCATAACCTCTTTGGTCATTGTTACCATTCTTCTGCAGATAAATAAAGATTTAGCAAGCTACTTTCTGCAGGAAATTGCCCCGAGGCAATTCAGAAATTGCTTGAACACTGTCAGATGGAGAGACAGGCTGTTGAATAGAGAAAAAAATTATAAAGAGAAAACAAGCACATAGGAGAAGCACCAAAAAAAACCCCAACCCAACCCTAAAGAGAGTCACAGAGATTAAGGACAGACAGTGCACAAACAGGGTTCAGACAAAAAAAAAACCCCAAAAAACTTCCTAACATAATCTTCATGACTTGAAAAAAAGTCTTTATACAAGTGTGTACTAACAATAAATCAAACTTTTAAAGGGGGTTAAAGTTATCTGAACCCCCATAAATTTGTGAATTCAGCTCTGCAGCGCTCTCTCACCACAACTTAATGCCCTAAAACATCTAATGACAGCCACCATGTGTTATACCAAAAAAAAGGGTATTGTAAAGAGTCTTACACAAGTATGTCCTCCACTAGGGTATGAAGGGTGCTCGGATTGCGGATCAGTTTGTCTAGGAAGCTGACAATGTCACTAAATTTTGGACGGTGGTTCCTCTCCTTTTGCCAGCAGTGAAGCATTAGCTGGTGAAGAGAAGCTGGGCAGCCCATGGGAGCTGGAAGCCTGTAACCTTCTTCAATAGACAGTATAACCTAAAGAAATACAATGCATATAGTTACTGGGCATTAGAGTTAAGTGTTAAAAGGACAGTGTAAAGTTGACAATTAGAAACCAGTGATAACAGTTAATGGCACAGCCACCCTCACTTTATGTGTTGCTGGGGCTTCACGCAGAGAATTGGGACTGGCAGGAGTGTGACCAGAGGAGATGTGTTTTGCAGGCATGTGAAACACAGTAGGCACTTTTCAAAGCTCTCTGGCCATCCTCTTCAAACAGCCAAGAAAGGAGGAAGAGAAGAAAGAACCAATATCACTGCCTTTTTCGTCCACTACAGGTTGATGTTGTACTGGATGGGGTCACAGGGCCACAAACAAACCTCATATGGCTGCTGCATACTGGGATGCTCTCATATGTTGCATCCTGACAAAGTGTTAGTGTGTGGCAATGTCATCATACAGTCAAGCACTACAAATGCACGCTGCAGTACCTGGCAAATTTACGTGGTGATAATATGTTTCTGTTGATCATTAGAGTATGATTAATCAGACAATGTCCCATATGCTGAGTTACAGCAAGGCACAACATTATTTTTCACAGCCTCTCTTAGAAACCTGGATGTCCAAGCTGTATGACTACACAAAAGTAAATAAAGTTATGGTGTTACCGTATACCTTAAAGTGAGTAAAACTTTCAGCAGATACGCAAAATGTGTTTAATCAGGATTTGGAAAGAAACAGATCTGATGTCACCGATAAATCACACGCATGAAAAATTACATTCGATCAGTTGAAGGTAGGCTTGTTTTTAGTAACACTGGTAACAAAAAACATTGCCTAAAAAGGGCACTAGCAGCATTGTGTGACAGGAGGTAGCAAAGGTAAGTAAGGTCCGTGAAAAGCAATCTGGATTCATTCTATGTAGGATTTAAAAAACAAGAGGAAAGGTGACTAGGTTCTGCAATGAGTGGTGGTAGCAGTGGGGATGACGATACAAATGACATAGTCAAGATTTCTTGTATAAAAGAATGGAAAGATAATAAGTGGTTGATCAAAACCAAAGCTAGGAAAAAGACCAACCCTACCACACACATAACCCTTCCACATAAAAATCCAACCAATGCTAAAATGTTCTCTAAAGTACAAATGATTGTAGACAATATTTATAATAACACAGAGGACTTATGAGAAACATACCTACTGCAATTATACCCACTCTGCTTTAAGGAGACATTTATCATTTTCACACAAATGTATGTACATGCTGCAGACATATTAATGCAGCTGAAAGGGGTACATTAAACTCTTTACAGCGAATCAGTGTTTTATAGCACTAGCTGTAGCTTCAATATATTCAATCTTATTATCCTGGAATATATTGTCATTCTCTTTTTGAATTCTGAATTAATGTTGTTGTTTCTGATCAGCAATGCCTAATGCTTATGCTGCAAGCATTATGAAAATAAATAAGAGTAATGAAGCTACCATAGCTCCCCTTCATGGCATGGTAGAAGATGGAACAAGGCTCTTGTATGCAGCCGGGTGTCTGAGTTTTATAAAATGAGGTGACCTGGTCTTACAGTGTATAGCCCTCTTGTATCCTGGCAGAAACACCTATGCATGAAAAATGAGTTTTGCAATGTGGTAGGGAACTGGATTTGTATGGTGTAAGCTTCAGACCCATCAGCAACAGCACTGAGAAGAACAGGCTCCTCTAAAAGCAGGATTACTTGCCGTAGGGATCTGAATATTGTGCACCTTTGAGTACTGACAGATCAACTATGTGCAGACAGGACTGGTCATGCACATACAGAGGTGATATCTAGCAGTAAATGATATGTCAATATGATAATGCTTCCACCTGTCTTTCCGGCTACTTGTTTACCTCCCTGGGATTTACTTCAATGGTCCAAAAATCCAGGCTGCTAAAATGGCTGCTATAGGAAAAAAATACCATCAGATTGTCAGTGAAATATTCCCTCTAAAGCCCTACCTCCTAACCATGAATATGCCCCTGAGATTGCTCCTGTTACAGACTCAGGATGGGTGAAATTCAACCCTATGCGCATGAAATTTTATTCGCAAAACTATCAAAACTCATGTATCTCAAGCAGTTTGACAAAAGTAGCTTTATGAAACATAGGTACTTGTTAGTGTGGGGTATAGCTTAGTTGATACTTGTCACTGAAGAAGCAATCTTTAGCGGCCCAGAAATGCAGATATCAGTCTTTACATTTAACTGTACCTGTTGCAAATGCTGACTTTATGAAAAGTGTTTTGTTCTTAAGGCAAAGGGAAAGCTTGTCTACAAATATAGCATTTGCTCGACACAATGGAGAACTGATGAGGTTTTTTAGAAATAATTTATTCAGGAAAAAAATGAAAAGTAACAATTTTCCAGAGACTGTATTTTCTCTGACACACTATTTTACCATGTCTTTGAAAAAGAAGTTAAAGTGCATTTTGTTTCCTCTCTTGTTCAAAAGAAAGATTTCAGTATGAAGAGAAATGCCATCTGGTACTGGGATAATTATAATTTCTCATTAATACCAGCACATTTTAAAAGTAAACTGCAAATATTGCCTCATTAGTATCCCTTGCGAGGCAAGTATTATTTTTAGAGTCTAAGAAGCAAGAGTAAAGATGTGATAAGTGTCTAATACTGCAGTGGGAATCAAGTCTCAAAGGAAGAATTAGAGCTTTTTAGTTTCTCAATTTTTAATTTTAGTTCCTGCTTTGCTACTTGCATAGCACCTATCTCTGAACAGAGGAATTAGATATCCATATACCTAAAAGGGAGGAAGTGTTACATTTTTCTTGGTAATACAAAATTATATAATACGTGAAGACTGTACATGTTAGCATCTTTTAAATGGCTTTTCTTTGTCAGTTTAAGGTTGAAGAAGCACCACATTAATCATGAAATGCTTTATACGTCTGTATCTAGACAAAGGATATAGCAACAGCTCTAGCAATCGGCATAACTCTTTTCACATTGGCAAATCAATGTTGCATCTATTTCAACCCGCAAGAATAGGAACATTAGCTTAGTTCCTGTGCAGATGAAGCCGTGAGTCTGCTAACAAAAAGGGTGATTACTGCTGTCTAGTTCTGGTTTTGTGACAAACACTTGATGGGTATCAAAAGGTGGAAAACATGCAAATATTCTGTGCTGCCATCAAACACTGAGAAAGAGGCTGTAGGTTTCTTTTCAGCAATGAGTGTGTTTAAAACTCATTAGAAGGTCTTGTGGGTCAGCATTAAGGTGAGTAAAATGGGCAGGGTGTATTTTTACATGTAACACTTTTTGACAGGTAAGAATACAAACAAAGGGAATTTTTTTTACAGTTAGCATAGCTAATTATTTCCATGCTTTTTAATGCTCATGCTTTTATTTTTATAAAGGGGACCATACTTTTTATATATTTTGGACACAGATGGTATTAAACACTGGAACCTGTTAAATACATTTTATCATTTTTGTCTGATGTTAGACAGATGTAAAGGCTGAAGACAGAGTTAATATATATTAATTACGATACCAAAATTATCTGAAAAATATTACTTCTATGTAAGATTTATGCATGTTTAGTTTCAAGATCATTTGAAACTGGCAAAAACAGCATCTGAAAATTAAGCTGTAATCTTTCTGATAGTTTCATTATTAACAGTAACATAGATCTTTGCTTTTCAAAGTTAACTGACAGATTTTTTAATGAGACTGAGACAGAAGAAAGTCCAGGGGGACGCTGTCCCTGTGTCCTGCTGACATCTGAAAAATCTACCAGGAGGGAGAGGCAGCTGCTCATGCCTCATGGTATGGAGCCAATCCCAGGTGCCTGCCAAGTGTTTTGATATCTGTGGGTTGAAAGAACTATATTAGGGTAAGTTATTTTTACTATTACAAGAAACTTTCATAAGTGTAAGGACTTCTGTTTGCTACAGTAGTTTTCTTGCATATTGATTACAATCCATTTTTTTTTCTTTTTTATTTTCAATACCGTAGTTCTGCAACATGCAATAATTTATACAGTGGCTTTTAACAGGTGTCCCAGTGGACTTCACTCACAGCTGTTCTACAAACCAAATGCATGGAATATAAATCTTCCTTTCCTCACATGAACATTAGCAAGCCAGGCTCTTAGCACAATCTGTTCATCAGTACACTAGTTTCCTTGGAAAGTTCAATATCTTAGCTAATGTTTATTAATTAAGCAATAAGACATGACAGACTGTGCAGCAGCCCTAATTAATGGACACCTCTGGTGCCTGCCACACATCTAAGAAGTGCATTAATCAGTACCAACACAGGTTGGAAGTGACTTACCACAATAATAAAATGGTTATTTACTTAAACAAGAACATTTCTCAAAGTTACTAACATTTTAAAGCCTCTACATTATATGTGTACAGGACTGAAAAATTTATGAGAGGCATTTTCAAACATGGTTGCCTAAAGTTCAGCTTCCAAATCCCTGCTTAGGTTTACAGAGGACACTAGATTTGCAGAGGTGTTGAGTCTCTCTGGCTTGCAGTCACCCAATGGGTACTTGTGAACAGTTGCAGCCTCTGAAAATCAGACTGGGTTTATTTAAGTGGCAGGTATCAGTTTAACACTTCTCATTGCATCAGCTTGGCTCTGGGCTACCTGTGCTGGCTCCCTGTGATTTGCTTGCTCTGACTGAGGGGTTGGACGAAAGACCCTTGGTAGACTTAGCTCAGCCCCACTGTTCATCTGGCTGAAGACGTGTGTTCGCATGGCAAATAAGCACCATGACAGACAGCACTGGACTTGTCCCTCCTAACATTGCCTCCCTTTAGGTAGGGGTGAGCATGTCGTTGGCTTCTATGTTATGCATGTAAGAAATTAACATTTAACTGGCAGCCACTCAAAACATCACTCACTTAGTCATGGTCTAATAAAGTGAATTAATTTCCCAAAGTTGTTTAATTAGAAAAGCAATTTGTAAGATGGAATGTCAAACTGCCTCTGCGGAGTCTAGACTTGGAATACTTTTGGTATTTTACAAAACTCCACCCGATTCAATAAATATTTTATTGCTAACTAGAGAAGAGTTTTGTTATGATCAAAACACAGTAAGTGTTGTAATGTTAATGTTGCCAGACATTTTGTTGTAGCAGAACCTCTGACTATACTTATGTAAGACCTTATTAACTGTTGTTTGCATAATGTGTGTTTTATCAATCTGTTTAGTGCATGCCCCTCTCCGTTACTTTCCCTGCCATATGTACAGTATCACTGGGCTTTCAGAAAGTCCTATTATTTCTGCAAAATAAGCTCATGTGATTTCAGAGTAATTTATTGTACTAAAAGAAATGTCCCAATATCCAGCAAAGTAATTGTTACAATATGTCTAATAACTGGAAATTTCCCAATGACATTTAAAGTCACTAAATATATTTAGAAGGTCACAGGTGCTCACTGTTAACATTTCAGCACTGAAAGTCTGTGGGTAGGGCTCTAGAGAAAAGGAGTCCTTTGTGTTTTGCATTGCTGAACTGCAGGGAAAGCCCCCAGCAGTCATCATCATTAGCATAAGCAGCATCCATAGGGCCCACATAAGTATTTTGTATTAACAGATACTTCTGGTTTTGATGTAGGAGTAATTAAAGGTTGCTATCTTCATGCTGTGGCAGAATATTTAATATATTCTAAATGGAGGGGTCACTATGAATTTCACTGCTGGCATGGCCTTGAATAGCTATATCATAGAGTCTGATAAAGGGAAAGAGGACAGGCTGAAGCCAGCCTCAAAGAAAGGGAGAGGCAGCTGAACGAAGGTCTCTGTTCTGTACTACTCTCACCTTGTGAGTTGGACTCTATGTGAGGGTCCTACCAGTCATTCAAACACCTTCCCAGGAGGTCAATACTGGGGCTGAACGGACTTGATGGAAAGTCTCTCTCTTGTCCCCTTCCCAGTTAGTGGTAACAGCCACGGGAGAGTCAAGAAGTGGGCTGGTAATAGAGCCAATGTGAGGAGGATTATGACTACAGAAGTAAAAGAGATTATGGCAGTTGGACTCCTCATAGAGACTTGACCCAACACCACATGAAGTCACTCACAACTGGAATAGAGACTGAAATTCCCCATGTTGTAACACAAGATCATATGACAGTGGGACACGATCATACAGCAAAAAAAGCATCTTTGTCCCGCCACCTCCTTCAGCTGCAGTCACCAGCAGCTGCCCATCACCTGCAGCTAGATAAGCAGACTGCCAAGATGAAGGGCGGAGGCAAAGTTACAGAGAGATGACAATGCAGTTGGAAGCACTGGCACTGCACAGAAGCCAGGCAGCATGGTAGGGATGACTTTGTTCAGAAGTATCTGCAGCTTCATGAACTTCTTTAATCTCTAAAAGAACCCACTATGAATGAGATGCTGCAGAGGGAACGGAGAAGTGAAATATCAATTACACAGTGAGGAAAACCAGGCAAAAGACTACTGGCCATGATACGCTCAGAGGATGTGCCAGAGGCAACTGACAGGGGCAACAGCAGGAAGGACTGTGAGCCGATGCTGCATTTATGACAGTGCAGTCCTTCAACCAGGCAGTGCTAATGGGGGTGGAAGGGAAAAAAGTAATGGCCCAGTGAGCCTCACTTGTAAAGGCACACGTGGACATTGTACTTCCTACTCAGAGAGCACCGAGTGGACTGAAAACCATGACATTCCATCAAAACATAAGAAAACAGTTTTCTATGGTGCATGTGACCAAGCACTGGCACAGGTTTCCCAGCGAGGTTGTAAAGTCTCCATCCTTGGAGATACTCAAAATACCATCAGAGACAGCCTCGAGCAAACTGTTTTAGCTGATGCTGCTTTAGCAGGGATGCTGGACTAGACAATCTTGAAAGGTCCCTCAACTTCTGCTGTTGTATGATTCTGTGATTTGCTAGTATGTTTTTCCTGGTTTCTTATTCTGTTAGATCTCCTGTTAAAAGAAGGCTCACAGTGAAGCTAACCATTGCATCTATTAGTTTGGGAAGGCAGAATATTTGAGGCTATACCTGCATTTTGATACAAAGTGCATTCTGTGCAATGCAGAGTAATCTGGTTTTGCAACAGCATAAAGATAACTCACTGATATTGCCATGACTGTGTTCAGCTTTGCTTCTGAATGGAAGATCAGCTCAAGAATAGCACCCTCTGCTATTACAAGGCTGAAACAATGTCCCAACTTCTTAGCAACTGTCTCCTAAAACCACAATTTACAATCTGGCTTTTTTAAGGAAAAAGATGGCAGTTTGCCTTACATTTGTTTTTGTAAGCTGTGGCAGCTCAGGAGCTGGTAAGTGGTCCTCAGTTCAGGCAAGGTACTGAGACCAGGGTACTCATATTATTAGTTGCACTCTGCTTGTTCATTCTGTTTTATTAACTTTGAACCCATTGTCCAACTTCAATCAAATTAAACAAGTTGTGTAAGAATCAGCAGCTGGATAGAGGCATAACGGTGGTAGGACATAGAGACTTAAATATATGAGAAATCTGTACACAGATGATTTCACACTGTTCCCTAGGGAAAAAAAAAATAGCCTTAATTCAGTTGTCTAAGCTTAGGTGTCTAATTTTAGCCACCCTAGGGATATCCTGCTTGGCCTTTGATTGTTGCTGCAGAAGGACTCAGGTCTCCTGCATGTCCTGTGCCAGCCGCATGTGGAGATCTTCATTACTGTAGGGCATCTCAAAGGCCAACAGATTGCTAGCTGTGGGAAACAGAACTGACCCTACTGGGCTTATCTGAATTTTTCACAGTAGATCCATGATGTGTTTATAGTTCAGATAGTACCAAAATAATGTCTCCATTGAAGAGAAAAGGTCTATTTCAGCTCAGTGGTTGCTTGTTCTCTTCAGATGGGCAACCAGCTACCACTGTCTGGACAAACAATAGAAACATAGCTCAAAACCAGCCACAGTATGTATCATTCCATACCTGGTGTTAATTAAGGAGCACAGCAGGGAGCTGGGCTGCTGGCAGGTAGATGCGTGGAGAGAGGATGAAGGCTGTAGGCATTGTCAGGGGAGAATGATCTACAGGAGAGTTGGGTCTAATTCCAAAGGGTAAACTCACAAGAGAAATTCTGGAGAGAAGTAGGATTATAGTACTGGTGAGGCTGTAGAGTATAAATCCAAGGGAAATAAGGCTTTATTAGTTCTACTAGTCTTTTCTGGTTTGGGTGGTTTTAGTGTTTTTTTTTGTTTGTTTGTTTTTGTGGTTTTTTTTCTTCCTGAAACACTCTGAAATTATGTTTTTTAAATGAAAATCTCTCTCAGATCTTTATCGCCAAATGACTGATCAGCCTTAACAAGCAACCAGACTTGAACAGCTGAATAACTTAGCAACAATATAAAAACAGCCATCTGGGAAAAGTCTTGTCAACTCTTCAGAACTGATGCAGAGGTATTCCAGGCACATATATGAGAGAGGTTAAGATGGGTTGGCTGATATTCTGCATTTTGACAGAGAGATTGATGGTTGGTGCGAAGACTGAGCATACCAGTTTGAGCTGTCATAGGGTTCCATCATATAAGAGCATTAGTGAAAATTTAAACTGTGGTGAAGAGAAAACACATTTTCCCTTTCCCATGCTTCGTTTTCTAGGACAAGTCTTCAATTTTACTAGAGGCAAATGTGTTTTTTTTAATTGGGAAGGATTATTTGGCCACTTTTGCAAAAAAGTCAGAGGAAAACATAACTTTTTTGTGAAGGAGGACTATTGTCCTGCAGCGTGGTTAAGCCTATACATAGTTTTTAAGGTAAACAAAATACATTTAATTCTTAGAAAGGAGAACTAGCAAATACATTTCTCATGGCAGCTTAACTCTTTTAGAATTTAACTATGTATGCCCGTTGAACGGTACTGTCAGACTGTACTGGAGATAATGGGCCAACTTCATCATCAGAATAGCTCCAGTATTACCTCAAGTTTTGATTTATATCTTAACTGAGATCTACATCAACTTGCATATCTGATGCAGATTCCCAGGGATTTGGATGAAAGCCACATATAGCCAGCATTAGGACCTGGCAAGCTGACTATGCCTCTGTAATATGTCTTTAGTCCATGTGAGGAAGCTAGTCAAGCTTTTGGTTATAGAGGGCCAAATCTTCAGACTGCATAAATTAACTGTCCCATCGAAGTTGACAGAGTTACGCTGATTTAAATAAATTGAGGTTCCAACCTAGAAAGTGAATGAGGAAGCAAAGTAGAGCAGGGAGTGACAATCATTTTCAAGGAACATTTCAACAACTTGTCAATTAGCCCTAGGCAGTACTTACATCCTGGTTGGACATCTCCCAGTATGGTCTCTCACCGTAGGACATCACCTCCCACATTACAATCCCATAGCTCCATGCGTCACTTGCTGAAGAGAACTTCCGGTAAGCTATAGCTTCAGGAGCGGTCCACCTTATGGGGATTTTTCCACCCTGGAAAAAAATGTTGAAAACTTGTCAATAAGACTGGAATACAGAATAGCACATGTTTAAAAGGAAAAAAAAAAAATCCTGAATGCTGAGAATCTACATTCTGTCTTCTGCCAGTTTGCCATGTCAATTTACTGCAAGTGGAAGGGAAGAAATATACCTTTTTTTGAATTTGATAAATATTTGTTTTCATTTGTAGTCTAATTGACCATAGGCTATAGGCTTTCTGTTATTCTTCTGATAATCTCTTTTAATTTTTGTTGTGCCCTTTAAATATCCAGGTAAATAGCAAACCAAGTGTGTTTCTAATAGGCATTTCCTTAGGACGTTGAATAGTTTCATTCTGCAGCTTTCAACTTAAAATCCAAGTGCTATCAGAAAATATTTGTAAGGATTCAATCAACAAACCTGACTTTGTACAAGACCAGAGGATGAAGAACTTTCTCTGACATTGGTAATTTAAACCACTGAATCTCTTCTATTCTTCCATAGTTTATGTATGAAAACTACTTTTCCATTTCAGAACGGAGTATTTCTTCTCCAGATACATTTCTCTTTTCTGAAGTATACATTTATTATCATTCTCCATTTAACTATATATATAGAGAGAGAGCAGTATGCTTAACGTGCCACTAGATGGTAGAAGGATGCAGTCAGTAGAGCTGAGCTCACTTAGCAGTAGTTGCTTTCAACAAGCAGTAATAGATTCTGCTCACTATTATAATTGTATTTCTGACAGAAACAAAAGAAGAAATGAACTAGAACATCCATTTGGCAATTGAAGAGAATCCACGGTTAAAAACAAGTATGTACATCTCTGTTCATTTGCTTTGAACACATAAAAAACTGCAAGTTTTGAGGACTAACTTCAACTGACTGAGAAGATGCTTGTTCTACCAAAAAAGTGTTCAAAAGCAAAGCTCTGTGTCTGGCGATGTGCCAGTAAGCTAACTTATCACTGAGTCTCACCCACTGATGAAAAATGTATGGTTAACATATGGTTAATATGGTATGGTTAATATGTTGTATGACAGTTATGATAGTAGCCAAGATGTCCTTTTGTATGATGTTACATTTTTTGCAGCTGCTTTTTTTAAAGCCTTTGCTTGCTCAATTGCGGTTGAAGTCAGTGGCAATCCTCTTACTTATTTTGGCAGTAGTAAAGTAAAGGTAACGCTTTATTTTGTATTTTTGCCCAAGCACTTCCCCTACCCTCTTTTTTTAAATTCAATAACCTGGTGGTCATATCACTCCTCTGGCATGTCAAACAGGCAAAGGGCTTTACACCCCATGTGCTGCCATCTCTGAGCCCACCCTAGCCAGCATGGCAGAGTGTGATGCTCTTGGTCCCTTCCTGCTACAGCTGTTCCACTTCGGAAGCAATTACAAATGCTTTTGGGTGTGAGAATGAAGAAACAGGGTGACAAAGAAGATTTGTGATAAGACATTCTCCAAGGAAAGACCAGCCTAATTTCTTGTCTCTTCCCCAGGAGATAGTTAAACTTTCTAAATGAATTGGATAAGAACACTTGGTGTTTGATCTCATGGTCTGATTGCAATGGTGTTTTGGTGGGTTATGTGAATCCAAGCTTCCTGAGGCAGTAGAAGATTTAGATACTCAATACCCCAAATGTACACTACCACTGGGCTGTCCAACCAAAAAGATGTGTTCTCTGAGCCACAAAGAGTTTGAGGGTCTAACTGCAGAGTATAGTTCAAAATATCTCCTCACACCAGAGTTACAAGCCTTATCATTTTTACCGGATCAGGTTTAGTCCTTTATTTTTAAATATTTTATTGCCAAGCTTAGGTGATTCCATCTTTAGATCTGGCTTCTGCAGATTTTTAGGGACAATCAGTATTTTCCCGGCTTAAGTCACAAGGTCACGGTAGGTATTTAACTCCTTCTTTTGACCTGGACACATGCACTTTTAAAAAGGTCAACAAGAGTCATGGTGATCCATATCACAAGGGACACTACCCTGACAACCCTAAACATCCTTCCTCAGCAGCAGCTTATCAGTCCTGGCTGACAAATGATGAAGAAGGTAAGACATCTGTTCCAACTCAAGAGTTTACTCTCTGAACCTTGTCTTGTGAAGCACTCCCCCTCGATGACTTTTGCTTTATGTCCACTCAAGATACTTTCGGGAGTGCCATACCAGCATTTGAGTGAGGATGCAAAATCAAAATTCTTTATTTTCTTCCCTTATCACAGATCTCAGGAGATGATAGGGAAAAAAAAATCTACCAGTTTAGATGGCTGTGTTACTATAAGACTTTGTTTATCAAGACAAACTGATGAATCAACAAATTTACTATGAGATTATATTTCTAATTTGGAGGGTTTTATTAATCTTTTTTTTTTTTAATTTTAATGAAAAGTCATATTAATAATTAAATATCTACTTTTAGGGAAAGCAAATCTATACATGCAAATAAAAGGCATTTGGATATTTATAGATTTTAATTTTAATGTTTATAAGATAATAGGAAAATTATTTTTTAAAGCATGTTCTTTTCATAACTCTGATTATGTATTTCCAAATTATACTCAAAAAAGAGGTCACATCTCGAGCAGCATTTCCAGCTAGATTTGTGACTACTGGCTAGATATGAGTTTCAAAGAATCTGATTAGACCCTACAACTAATTTCATGATACAGCTTTACTGACTGAACCCTTTTGGGCTGAAACAGTAGTGGCTCACTGAGTGTGAAAATGAGAATGGAGAACAGAGTCTTCACAAAATTCAAGGCAGTTCATGTTCAAGGGCATAAGATGTGTTCAGTGTTATAAAATAAAATTCTTTTCTGCTAGCTCTAATAACAAGGTGAAGCAAAACCTCTAAAATTTTTACAATGGATTCATCTTATGTATGAAGATGTTCTGTTCATAAAAATGTAAATTTCAATACTTAATTATGTTTGCAGAATATCTTTCTATGCAAAAAAAAAGAGTTGGTTTATTTATTTGAAAGCCATTCAAAAGGCAAAGGTTGCAATATGTCTACCTTAAGAGATGTAATGACTGAAGAGTAGTAATAGCTGCTCATGCATAATAAAAGAACACATAAGGTTTAGAATAGCTGAAAATCTATTTCCTGTTTCTGATTAGAGTAATAAACAGTGTTACTGATATTGCACGTCTTTTTGAATTTTGATCTAACTGGGAAATAGTTACTGTTTACACAATGCCTCACCTTCAAATTAAGATAATTTATAAATCACATATTTTACTACTATAGTAATGAAATCTGTCACAGCTCCCTGTACCAGAAAGCCCTTACACAAGCCCATTTTGCTTATAGGTTATTCTCTCTCTTTTGAGGGCTGGGGGGAAGGGGCAGAAGGAGTATTAGGAACCAGATTGTATTTCTGCCTCATTTCATACCTTAATAATGACATCAGTGATAAGCTAATTTTATTTTCACATAGTAAAAGAACACTAACACTGCTATTCAAATAATTAGAATTCAGCCTTCTTTTCTGTATGCTGCCAGCTGAATAGTGTCTATCTCCTGATTTTTTTCTTGATTGTAATTTAATAAGCAATTTTACTATGCAGTGTCAAGAGTCCCCTTGCAATTGAACATTAGGGGTCACATTGCTTACCTTGTAGAACTGTTTAGAGATCAGTCCTTGAAATTAAATTTACCCCCTTGCCCACCCACAACCACACTTGCTTTCCCTACCGAGTTGGCAACAGCACAACTTGCCACACATTTAAAGACAGAACTGAAACTACATGTTGCAGAATGCCTCATTCTTTCACCCAAGCTATGCATGAGAGAAAGTCTTCCCAAAATGCCATCTCTTCTCTGAACTTAGAACAAAAAAAAATGTTCCTATGCTCTGTTATGTGCAGAGACCCTGGCCAGGCAACTGACACTGACATTACATGTTGTACAGTGGGCCACAAAGTCTATCCCTTACTCTGCGTTTTTGGCATCTCCCACTTTCTTTAATTAAATAATTAAACATATTTTAGAACTCCAGCATAACAATGTAACTGGCAGCTACAGCCCATTACTCTACCAAGATGAAGGTCGGGATGTATCAGCAACCTCAAATTGCTTGATGTGCAAAATGACAGGGAGGGCACAGAAGCAAAGAAGGAAGCCTGTTAGATGCCCAGAACTTTTGGCATGCCCTGCTAGCTAATTAATGTGAGGAGTAATACCACTGAGAACCTTAGATATAAAACTGAAGGTAAGATATATGAGCTCCTACTGGATGTGCAAAGACAGTGATACATGTGAGCAACCAGAAGCAGACACAGTGCATCAGACTCACAATGTCCCAGAACTAGCAGGGATGTGAAACAATGACGGTTTCGGCTGAAAAGCCTGTTCTGTATTTTCCTTGAATGACAGACACTGCAGACAGACTGTCACAGGGCTGGCTGCAGTTTTACTGAATACTGAGGTGCAAATGCTTCAGTTCCAGGTGCACAGACATGGAGAGATGTCTATTTCTAGGACAAAAGGTACTGAACTATGTGCAGCATTAGTCTAATCTGGCACAATAATTCCTGTGCATCTGTCAGTTACTATTCCTTTATGTACAATGTTACTGAATCATGCAATAATTTTTCCATGACACAAGTGTAGTATCTGTCTTTTTCTCCACCCCAAATGACAGAAATGGGGAAAAAAAAAAGAACTTCAGAGTGAAGAGAGACAAAAGTAATGAGAGATTAGTTTTAAATATTGGACATAATTCATCATTCTGTATAAAAGCCTTATGCCACTTCACTGGAGCAATGCTTTTATTTCAGTATATGAATCAAATTTTTCATGTGTAAAGTTACAAATAGTCAGAAATTAGAATCCTCAAATCATAATTTAAAACTATTCAGTATTATCAACAGTCTTCCATAGTGTCTATTGAAATATCAGAGAAACTACATGGCAAGATAACAAAAATTCTCTGAAAAAGCATTTCAGAATTTGCTCTCGTTATGCCCAATTCCAGTCAGTTCTATGAGTCTTTCATTTCCCTC